AAAAGCACAAAATACAGATAGAATGTGGAGGTGTAGAAGAGAGAGGGAATTATCGTACTGAAAGAGAACGACATGTATACTCACATCCTCTTCACCCTTTTCCCTTACATGAGTGATCCGGCATTATTCGCCGATCGTAGCAAAATCTCTACTACTCTATCCAAGTCGGATTCATCTTTCCCTACATCCGAGAGTAAAGTGAATCACTTCAGTCCACTCGTAAGCCTTGACATATTCATATACTGATCTCTCTGGTCTATGGAGGCAATAGTCATAATCATTAAAAGAAAATAAGAATGATAATAAAACAGAGCAAGACCTTGCCCAAGTTTTTACTCCATTATGAACCTCATTAAATAAATTTATTCATAAAGATACCTTCATCACCTTTTATAGAAAATTTCAAGTTAAGTTTATTATTTATTATGTACAAACAAAGATTTATTTTCTGTGAGTACAGAAGGAGTTTTTTTTACTTGAGATGCAGAAATTTTTTATGGAATTCCTTCAATGATGGAACTAATTTATATTATTCATTTATTCATACTTTATTTTAAACTTTTTTTGTTCGTTTGGTGAATATAAAAGATTCTTTTTTTTTTATTTGTTTATTGAAAGAATGATAATGATTGAATTGACAAAAATTCTTTCTTGATAAAGTAAATAATTTTTTTTTATTTATTAATAAGAAAAGTCGACTTTTATTAATATAATTTTCATTAATTATAAATAAAAAAAATCAATAATTAAAAGCTTCCAAATAGCAGATTATCATAATTATTAATTTATTTTACGTGTAATAAATAATTATTAAATACATTGTATTTAATTCTGAACTTTAATTAAAGTGTTTGATTGCGCATGTAATAAAGTATTTACTGATGATAAAAAATCACTGTGTATTGTAATAAAGTGAAAGGGTGTAAAAAAAATTATTTAGAATTTTTTTATTTTTTATTTTGTGAAAAAATTATAGTTATGATGAATCTTGAATGTCAAATTCACTCAGTAACCAAAACAATAGAACTAACGATTGCAATTTCAATTAACTTCATTCTATTTACTTGATTTTAAATGCCACCAGTAATTAAATACAAAAAGAAAAAATTTTTTTTTAAATCAGTACTCATTCACAATTAATTTCATAAAATTGCTGGAATAAAAAAATTTTGTTTCTCTGAATTGCGAAGTAAATTTAATTTCCGTGTTTAATGCATGACAAAAAAAAAATGAAAAAACGATTTTAACGAAATTTAAATGAAAGAAACTCACTTTTCTCAATGAAATATCTCGATATAATAAAGAAATATTATGAAAATAAACAAGTCTTGCATGAAATTATTCATTTAAAAGCTTTTATGAATTACGATTAAATATTTTCTTTTTTTTTAATAATAAGATTTTGAGTGCTTCTATATTTTCCTTCTTATTTTAAAATAACTGCATATTAAACTTATAACTAGTTCTTATTAAAATCTCTAGTTATATTTGAAAAAGCGATAAAAATAGTTGCTTTCTAATCACGAAATTAAAGAATAACAGCTTTTATAGAAAAAAAAATTTTTTCTTTTATTATTCATTGATTTTTTATTTCTTTAAATTATTTACCCTCTTTTTTTAAGTTGCTTTTAAAAGAAGCATAATTTTAAATTCTTTCGTCATAGCTTAAAATTTTTGGCCACATACTTTTAAAAATATTTCACATTAAAAATGCTAAGCATATGAGGGTAGAAGTGATAAGGAATTCATTATTTAATACAAAAAATTTTAATGATTGCCAACTCAATTTATTATGAAAGAATAATTATGAATGAGAAAAATTTTTCTTCAATTTGATTTGTTTTATAAATATTTATTTTAATTATCTGTTTTATTTCATTACTAGAAACAAGTTAAAATAATGCAGCAAGATATTTATTGATTTCAAAGTAAATTATATATTTAAAATAATATATTGCAGAAAAAAAACAAATCCTTCTTTTCAACATTTTTGACTCATTTCTATAATATCAAAAATGCCTTGAAGGAATAGAAAATAATTTAAAATGTCTTAGTACACTGTCGAGATAAGATTGTAAAAAATAAATCACTCTCAACGTCATGTTTTGCCATTACGAACTATCAAGGGTTTCACTGAATATTAAAGAAGAATTTTCCAATAACCTCTACTAGACGCACTTATCGATCACTCGCATGAAATTTTTTGCATTTAATCTCCGGTGTAAGTCTAAGCGAATAACTCAAAACAGTTGCTCTCATTTCCGTTGTGGAACGCATCTGTACACTCCAATGAAGCTTGTGGCTCCAATACATGCCCTAGGCTATTAATATCTATAAATGGATATTACTACGTTCCCTCGAGAGATGATGCTTCAACAACGAGGCACGTAGTGCAATAGTAAGTGAGAGGAACAGAAGAGAAGAGCATACACAGAAAGGGGCGTTGCTTCCTGGTCCACTCGGTGCCACGAGCAGTCTCCGGGGCGTTCTCTCATCGTCGACGCTGCTTAATTAACGCGTCATCATTGATGAAGGGGAACTGTAAGGGCTGTCGCAGGTTCCAAGTAGATAAAGACATGCCAACTTTCACGAGTTTATAGCTGAAATTACTTCCATTCTATTTAAATACTAATTTAGACGTTCAATAAATCATCAGTTCAGCTTATTGCTGAATATGAAACACCAACACTGACCAGAATTTATTAAATAATAATTAAAACCTACATCAGTTCCTTTTATATAGCTTCTTTTTCTTCATTTTGAATTTAATTAATGTCTTGATGTAAATTGTTTTGAAATTAATTTTGTACATTCTAAAGATTAATTAGAGTGGAAAATCACAATGAGGCTATTTAAATAAGTTGGGAGTTCTCTAATCCTCAAGAACCAAACTTGAAACTTACTTTAGTATTTTTTAAATAAGTCAACTAATTTTGTTTTAAACTTCAGTATTTTCTTTTGATAAAGAATTCATTCTCTTGATTCAAGTTTTTTCAAAAATTATCATACCTTTTCTTAGTCAAGATTTTGAAATGAAAATATTCTCTTTTTCTGTATAAAATAAAACAAAAAGTTTTCTAAAACATACTTCTGTATTGTTTTATTTGAAATTGACTTCAAAGAATCCTAGGAAATGATTAATAAATATTTTTCCAATAATAAGAAACCTTATTTGGTTGTAATTAGCCATGATCTTCAATAAACCTTGGAGAGTTATTAATTAGACTCATTAATGTAAGTTTCAATTATGGAATCTGAATAACAAGTTGGATCTTCAAGTTTTGTTCACCTAAAAAAAATGAATTCCTTTTTTTCGGTGTGGTAAAATTACCTTTTATTTGTCATAGACTCTTCCAATCCTTGAAATGATAATTCCTTGCATAGTTGCAATGACATTTCTCTAATGGAAACCTTTTCAAAGTTTTCAATATAGAAAGTGGTCAAGGATTTAAAGGAACAGTTAGAATAAGTGAATAACGACGTAAATCCCAACTGGATTGGTGTGTCTCAAGGCTGGTATGTGGTTTTGATTCAATATCAGAAAATGTCCAAGATCTGGCGATGAATCTATTCCTTTCAAGAGAAAAATGGTATTGGATTTAAGAGAGAATGACTTGTTTTATTTTCTTGAAGATATTCATCGTTTTGTACAAGGTCTAGCTTATTCTCAACAATACAATCTTTTCCCCACGAGGGGATGTCGATTGATAGACAGCTCTTGTCTACTCGATATCCAAGCAAAAGCTACCCCTTCTCAAGCTCTTGATCTACCCCTGGATATGAGTCAGATTTTTACCTTCTCCTTGTCATACATCCTGTAAGTCTATCAATTGTACTTCTAAAAGCTATACTTAAAAATGCATTTTATGAAGCTTTTTGCATTACAATCTTACAATACTATACATTTTTTTCTCTCCTCTCCCCTTGAATCGTTTTTAACTTTCTTTCCTCTCAGCTTCTCGCAGTGACAGAGCGTGTCCGATTGAGAGGGAAGTCTTGGTCATGGTTGAAGAGCATCAGTATCACCCTTAGATTTTCTTATATTAAACTGCTCTTTCGATTTTCCAAGGCAAAAGTTTTCTCTCTAGATTTTTCATCCTTTATTCTTTAGATTCATACTTCATACTGTATGTAATGTCTGCCTACCATCCCTCTAGCTCTTTGCTCCACCACTTCCGTATCCATCTAACACACACCATTGACCACGAATGCCGAGTCCAACCTTCTGTCCCATGGGATCACCCTCTGGCTTCTTCAAAAATCTAGTTATCTCGATCATGTGATGCCAGGAGGGTGAATTAGTGAGTTTTAATCCGGACAAAGCATCCGTAATGTTTGTAATAAGTCTATTTTCATCATTATAATTTGCAACAGTATCAACTAAGTCAATAAAATATACTTTGAGGGTTTAGATATTATTAGGAACAGAAGTATTTATTGTTTAAAAGCATCAACTTCTTTGTCAAACTATTAACGTTCATTTTTTGATTATTCTGAAAGATCTTTTTTTTTTCTAAATGATATACTACATTGATTATCATTAATGTAGAATTACTAATTAGTTTCAAGATTGTTAATTAGCAATAAATAAATAAAGGCCAATTTGTTTCAATTATTAAGCCAGCTCATTAGAGACTAATTGGTGTAAATTTAATCCAAACATAGAGATTTATTTACAACAATTCTACATTTATTTTACCATACTGAAATGTCAATATTCATTTAAAATCAATTAAGCGAAAAAATGCATAATAGTCTTCTCTAAATCTCAATATTTGCACGAAATTTTTAAACACTCAGTTAAATAAATATCTCAAATTATAAAATTATTCCATCAATTTGAACAATGTGTTTATAACTATTTTTATTATTTTATTTTATCACTACTTAGATTATAGAGCTTTTATATATCCAGCTTTCGCTAAGAGTAGGATCATAATACAAACTTATAATGTAGTTTATATTTTTATATGACAATAAGTAAATTTTATTCTACTTACGGTAAATCTCCGACACCAGACGCTCAACCACTCGATGTCACGTATTTTCTTGCCTTGGGGTAATCTCAGAATGATATCTGTGTTAACGTGGGTTTTCAGTATTGGTGGATCACTGAAGAGTAAAAGAATAAATGAAATTGAATCGTTTTGTCTCTCTTTTCGTTTTCTTTTTCCTTTACTTTCGGAGATTAAGGAAAAGAAAATAGTGTGGGTAAAATGGTAAAAGGAAGCAAATGGTTATTTCAATGGAAGGAGAATAAAATTGTTGAGAATTTGAAACTCAAAGACCTCGAAATATTTGCTAAGGGACATGAAATAGATGAGGTCAGTAGCCAGTAAAATGGAAATCGATCTTCTTTTCATTCAGGTTGGCATCGCGGAAAAAAGTACACTTTTTTTCCAAGCCTCTTTTCAAACCTTTTTTCTTGTGATAAAAAAAAAATAATGTGATTTCCTGATAATTACCTGCTATGATGATTTTCAGGATATGGAACAATGTCTCCCTGTGGGCCTGGAACCTGACCAGTTCCAATCCAAAAGAAAGTGTCTTCAGACCTTCCATCATAGTAAAATCCTTTGATGAAGATTGTGGTTTCATCAACAGCATAAACTGTTCCTTTTATGCGATGTTCAGCTGAATAAAAAGGTCCTATTAATGTTCCATAATAATTTGCCCCTTTTCCTCTTGCACATGAACCTAGAAAAAAGTATTTTTATATTATTTCTTGAGTAATAAGGTAACTCTAACTATTTTGAAATGATTGAATTATATAATAGACTTTTATTTTGATTGAATTACCAGTTTCAGTCTATTACCATACACTAAACATAAACGTAATTAACATAATAGAGAGTGAATATTTAGTGAAGCACGTTTGCCTGGTTTATTCTAAAAATAATGTCAACTTGTCCTGAGTAGCATACGCAAATACTTGAAAATCAATCATTATAAAAATATTTTATAGCTTTTAAAAATTATTATTCAATATCTAAATAACCATTGAAGTTTAATAAACATTACAAAACTGTTTTCATAATTTTATACTAGTTTTATTTTCTTTAAATGTTGTTTTTAAAACAATTTTCAAGACCAAAAGATAAAGATAACATTAAATTATTTGTAAGAACATGATAATTTATGTCATTAATGTTGTTTATGGGTTGATAGTAGAGTAGAGAAATACCTGGTGATAAATTATTGACATTTCTACGTTAAATCCTATTATTTTTTTTCGAGATTTATCATCAACCCTTCCTACTGGAGTAGAATAATCTTAGAACCTTAGTAGGGATTCCTACAACTCAATCATTCATTAAACTTTTATTACAGATTTCTACACTTTTATATTTATTTTTATGTAATCAAATGATGAAAAACTATCAAAACTCTAACATAAATAAATTCATTAGAGTGGAATATCTTGTTTACTACTGGCTAATTTCTTAAGTGACCAACATCACCATCACCTTCCACACATTTCCACCCAACACTGTTCCATGATTTCCTTGAAATCATTAAAATAAATTCTATAGAGCATTTTTATCAAAATAATCAACTGGTATTCATGTTTATATTAGCAAACAAGCATTATGAATACAGAGAGATCCCTTAACGACGTCGTAACCATCACAACCCTCATCTATCCACTCTGGCATGGTCGATGCATCGCTGGGTTCAGACAAAAGTGAAGGATATGCAATAGCTCCAAGCGCGAAAACACAAATACTCCGATGATTGTACTGATGAAATCTAGGATGTGCTTTTGAAGATCAACGATTCCAATGCGTCATATTTGAAAGACCATGAAAAGTATAGCTACTAAATATGATAATAATAACAATAATAATGATGATAATGGTGGACACACGCCTCTCTATACAATCCCCAAGGGCTGTATTATATTCACGTTGCAGTTCGTGTCGAGGGGAGAAATTTGAGGAGTAAAATCTATCACGTGAGTTCATTGTTGTCACTTGCTTTTTTACATTTATAATTTTTCCATTGACTAATGACATTGAACGGGGTGCTAATGGATCTGTAATCGGCGTAACGAATTGTAGGGATGCTAGGAAAAAGTTATTTTCGAATTAGCGATGAAAGGGATTGGAGATTTTGACTGACGCTGACTTGGACATTAACAAGACTAACTGAATTCATCGAGTAAAGAAGCCTCTCTTGAGTGTACAGTGAATAGGCTGGTTGGAGGAGTGAGAGAAAGAGAAAAGGGTGGCTGTTACGTCGATTTTAATCAAGATATGGCCAGAGAGCCGACGCCAGATCGAGCCTAGCTTATCGATTTTACCCAAGTACTCATCCAAGAGTAAAGAAAGGAAAAAGCACGTTGCTACTTTTAACGTCGTATCAAGTATAGAAAATAAGAAAGTCTCAAATTTTGTTTTCAAGTCTTGACTCTATTGTAATCAAGATTTTCTTGATTATTCGTTTCCTACTTTTGGGATGCTCTGACTCGCTTTCAAGGTATGATGCTGCTGCTGCTAAATTTAGCGGTTTCATAGCAGAATCTTCTTGGTCTTATACATCAAATGATTTCCGAGTCGCTGGTCGTCACATCCGGTTTCACTCTTTCTTCAGATCCTTATGCCATGGAATTTTATCTTCTCACATATACCAAGCAAAACTCTTCTAGATCGGATTACAAGATTCGCAGGACTTGTAATCCGAAAAAAGCTCCCAACATCCTTCTCACATTTTCAACATACTATACTTGACTTGAACGAGTTCATTGAACGTCATAATCTTTTTGTGAGATTTCCGCTCCAGCTTAAACTTTATTATAGTTTACATTAATTTTGTCATTTCACAAAGGATTTTTTTTTGTTCTTTTTGTTAGGAAATAAACCAATTCCTTTTAGGCTTCCTTTTATACTTGTGTTGTTGGTAAGTGAATTACTTTTTATTGATAATTATGTTATTTCATTTATTTGATTGAGCAAGCTAGTGAGTTAATGGATTTGTTTTTGAATATAAATGGATTAATTTCCTTGAGAAAACTGATACCACGAATTATCATATTACTAAATTGATTTTCAATTTGAATATTAATTATTTTATTTTTCACACTTTCTGGACTAGAACTTTGTATCAATTTATTTATAAATATTTATCTCTTACCAATCAATTTCAAGTTTATTAATTTAATAAGTATTTATTGATAATATTATTATTTAAAAGTAGCCAATAAATAATTAGTAATTTTGTAAAATATTTTAAAAAAAAAACAAGTCATAAATTTTATGTTTCAAAATGTATTTGAAACATAAAATTTTGTTTAAAAAATGGAAACAGCGTTAAAATATTGGTTAGAAAGGAAATAAATGTAGCAATGTCTAGACGTTAGCAGGTGCAAGCCGTATGTCAAGTGCATAGAGCCACGCATACATAACAGTACTGAGAATTTATTTCTATTCCGTGTTTCCTGAAGCCAATAAATTTCATAATATTGAATGTATCAACTTGACCGGTTAATTTTCAAGAAAAAAATGAATAATTTCCAAAAAATTAAATTAAAACAAAGAGATTACAAAAGCGAAGCTAAAACAATTTTTCGAATAGAGCAAGATTAGATGGCATGTACAGAAAATATTGCGATAGGGTTGAAGATGATGTAGTACTAAGGGGGTGAGTCTTAATGCATTTGGTGGAGCAGCCAGCCACGAGTGTACGCATCAACGGCCACCCTTTTCGCAAGCTCGGCATTCAAGCTCTCATCTCTCCCTCTCCTTCCTCTATCACCATCGTCTCTATCGTCCGTGAGTTCTCACTTGGCACCCCCTACTCTTCCAAGCATCCTTGACGACATAATGGCTCTAAAACGAAGCGCATCCCAACCTTCAATTCTTCCCTGTCCAACTAGAACTCGTAATCTCTTAACAGCCGGCAAACGACGGAAAATATCGGCTTTGAATTCATCACAATCAAATTGAATTTTCGTCCATTTCATTTAAGTTTTTTTCTTTTTTTTATCTTTAACCATTTCCCCTTCTGTTCTATAGGACTTGTTATTTCGGCATTTTCAAAGAGTATTTTAAATGATAAAAAATTATTCTGCCACACACGACCTGTAGAACAATCTTATATGATAAAAAAAAAAATTAATACGCGGGAGTGAGAGTCGCGTGACAAAAAGTAGGCCATGGCTATTCCCTTCCCTGTAGGCATTCCAACATTGCATTGAACATCAGTGTCAGATATACACCGAAGAATTAAAAGCATTTTTACATTCCCATGCATATATAGATGTCGGACTATGGAAAAATAATGGATCTACTTATTTCTTATTAGACGTCATTACTTCTATAAGACGATGAATTATTTTATTGAATAAAAATTTTTATTATTTTAATACGTTTATTTATTGACTGCTTTAGAATTCCTTTCATTCTGATAGAAATTGTATGGGGTATAAAAAATAATAAAGTCGATTTAGAAAATTATCATTTAATAGGAGGGATATAAGTGTGTGGAAGAATTTATTATCAATGGGAATTTTATAATCAGCAGATCAATAGATAGGAAATATTTGGAAAATAAATAAGTTATTTTAATTTTGATAGAGTTAAAATTATTCAATTATTTGCTATTTATTTTAGTGAAAGAGACTAGTGCAAAAGATGGAAGGTTTTTTATTTAGATAAAATTTTAATTTATAAAATACACTATTTGCTTCTTTTTCTGTTTAAACATATATTAAAATATGATTTTTAAAATAAATAGTGTACATTGCTTTACAAAGTTAATTCAAATACTTATTCACATTGATAATTGCAAAGTGAAATTTTTTTAATGCAAAATAAACATTTTAAATAAATATGTGTATACTTAATATTATTCAAAGAAACATTTCCCAATTACTTGTTATTTATTTCGACAAATTGAGACTTATAATTTTAATAATTACTCCAAAATATTTGGAGCATTTTAATTGGAACATTCTTTCAGTAGTATATCTCACGATAAAAAGAAACATTACTTTGTATTATCAACCAATTAAAAAATTCTTCCTATTTATTCCAAGACTTTTTTTTTTAAATTTATTTATTAACATAAAATTATTGCATTTAATATTTTAACATTTTAATTACTTTAATAATTATTTACTCCATAAAATCTATATGTATTATTCATCATCCCAACTCATGTCATTTCAAGAATTTCATTAAAATGATGAAATGAAAAATTTTTTTTTGTCTCTAAAAAACAATGATGATAATAAACAGGCAGGAATCATGGGTAGTAGAAACAAAAAATTAATGATGACATATTATTGATGCGGGTGAAGCATATCTTTGCAAAATGTATAGTTAAATGTACTATTGTGAAATATGTTTTTATCTTCTTTTTTTTTTTTTAGAAATAAATATATTGCATTCTTGAACTAAATAATTGTAACATTACTTGATTAATATCTCTTGATAATTCCTTGTATCAAGTTCTAGTCTATTTAATATTAAGCATTTTTATTATCCAACATTATCATTATTATTATTCATTTACATTTTCTCTGCCATCCTATAATTAAAGCAAACATAAGAAAAAATCTTTAGCAATCAAAATTAAAAACAAAAAAAATTTTTTTAGGGTTTTATTATAAATTTTTACCTTTAAATAATGAAATAAATAATTATTTTAAAAATTTTATTTTATCTTTAAAATCGTGACTGTTGAAAAATCATCAATCATAAAACATGTATTGATTTTTCTACGAGTTGCAAATCTTATCATGATTCATGTAGCTTTTAAACGAACAAACCGATCATTAACACCGAGAGAAACGTGCATTTATAATTTTCTCGTGAATATCTAATCTATTGTGCAAAGCAAAGAAAAAAATAGTAACTTTCTTTACAATTGTTCATCTTCCAGCGTAACCTTTAGAACTTAACCGCCAGGTTACATAAGATTGAATATGGAGTTAGAAGTTGCAGGTTTATTTATTTTAATGAATGATTCGATAAGTGGTTGTGATGTTGTAAAATTCCTGGCTTATGTACACAGCAGAATGTGTTCTCAAGTGAAAGTCTCTAATGGGACATGCGATTTCACTCTTGATTGCCGCGGGTGATGACCGTTTGAAAGTTAAGCATGCTCTTGACGGTGAAATAATAATAATTAAATTATACATCCAATAATCGTAAATGCGTAATAAAATATTTAAATAATAAATAGCTGAGTTTATTTATAATTTAGCTATTTATTATATTAAATAAAAGAGAGAGAGAGAGTTATCATTATCCTAGATGAAGTGATTATTTTTCGATGAATTAAAAATAATTTCAAGCAATAGAAAAAAAAAACACTTACCAAAATCAAGTTGGAAGATGAAAGAAATGAAACCAAGCCAGATAATTTTCATTGTCTTGTCCATGTCTGCTACAAAAGTGAGCGGCTGGTAACCTTTTCCCGCGCTATCGTCTTCGTCTTATTGCTCTTCACTATTTCCACAAGTATATGTTTGCACTTCTCCTGCTTCTTTTACTTGAACTCGTCGTTGTTGTTACGTCGTTGAATTCCTCACATCAAGCACCAACCAATCACAGCTATACGCATTAATGCTCGCGCGAGGACACATGCATTCCCGCGTGTCTGTTTTTCTTTTAATTCTATTTTATTTTCTCTGAATAACTTTCTTGTTATACTTTCAATTATTGACTATGATAATGAATTATCACATTGATGATCCGAGATCATAAGCTTTACCGCACCGCAAATGACACCATTGACACCCACGATTGATCTAGAAAATAACAAATTCACCTTTATGCATTATTTTTTAGTTTATTTCGTTTACTGTGATGAGTTTTGCTCAAGATTTAGGTGGAACTGACGCGCTGTTGGGTCCCACCAACACTTTAGGTCTAAAGAGAAAGGATTGGGACCTTGGGGAAGGAGAGACTTGCCTCGGAGGAGTGATGACTGATCATTCTTTCAATCAACTAAACATAAGCGGATTATTTAAAACAAAGTTTTTATTTCTTTGATTTTTAAAGCAATTGATGAAATAAGAATTATAATTCAGTGTGTAGGGATGTTTAAAACAGTTACGAGCTGATGTATTATGAATATTCACGTGGAATATCACCTTTATCACGCACCAAAACCCCTTTTAGGGCACAAACGGGGGGCTAAAGAGCCGCGGAACGCACGCGGGTGCGTCGCGCGCGTTTCCGACTCAAGGACTGAGGGTGAAAATCGTCGACGGAATATCTATTGGCTACTATCCCCCGTATTCTACGTGAAAAGCTCCACCTACTCGTAGGAGGAGTAGCGACATTGAGAGGATGAGGTTTGAGCTTGCGCATAAAATACCCGCGTAACTCTTTCCATTTATGTTTTTTCCCCCTATTTTAATGTAACTGTTACAGTTTTCGTTTTTAAATCGTCCTACACTGTTCTCTATACTTGTGTATTATTTTTCATTGAGTTAAAAAATTTCACATTTTTAAATTTCTATAGAATACGTGATTCACGAAAAATACCATTTTGACTATGTAATCGAGTTTGAAATGAAAGAAAAAAAGGCACATTTTTACTTTTTCTTCTTTCACATATCATGTAGAATTTTATTTAAAACTTATTCGGGAAATTTTTATTCTTTAGTATGCGTCAAATAAATTATCAAAGCATGAAAAATCGAATTGAACGAATTTAAGGATATATATATATATATATATATATCTATATATATTTTGTGATAACTCGTGCGCACAAAAGTAACGCCGGAAATACATATACAAGACAAAAGAATGAGAAGAACTGAGATGGATTTCTTAGCCACAGGCAGTGAAAAGTAATGCGGAAAAAGCTGGTCGTGCGTCTCAAGACGAGATCACGACTAGTGAATTTAAAATAAGCTTTCATCCTTCTTTTATTACAACATTTTCAATCCCGGAAGTAAGACACTTTGTTTCCCCATTCTAATATGACACCTTGAAAATTCTTTTAAAGTCACTCAACTCTTCTTACTTTTAATAAATGAAATAAAGAAAAAAAAAACATTCCTCCTTTTTTCTCGTCCAAAAATAAAACTCAGAGATAATTAAACAAATTCGAGCTTCAAAGGAGCTTCCAATTGTCTCAGATTGCTTTGTAAAGTATTGTTTATTATTGAGGAATGTTTTTATTGGGAAGAAAAATTTCCCGTCTGATTGACAAAGCATCTGAAATGCACGTGGCTTGGTGCCAATGTCCATCAAAAATAGAAAGGAAAAAAAAATAGGGAAGCATAGGGCTAGGTAATATTTCGCTTTGTCCCAAAAGTTTAATATCCGCCGGTGATCGGTCCGAATGAGAAGGGGAACGTTAAGCGGGTATGAGTGAACAAGGGAGAGTGAATACGCGGCTTATGATCGTACGATAGCATACACGTGGCTCCCAAAGCAACCCCTGCGTCACTTTATCCCACCAAAGTGCGCAGATCGTTCAGATAAGTACGCGTGTTACTTATCGATAAAAACGAATAGATATATTTCTAATTTCATCGTTATAATTATCAACTGTTATCAAGGAAATACACATTATTTGTACTAAAAGCATGAAAATGTCATAGAATCATCGTATATCATATGGGGTAAAAATAAATAGATACAGTTATCTCGTTAATTGATTTGAAAATCCGAAAGCTCAATAATTATAGGACCTAATGGGATTATGGCTATGTTTGTGGTCAATAAATAACAATATTTTATTTAAATAAATAATTTAAAAATGGATATGGGTGCACATTGTACCTTGATGACTGAAATTCGTAATTTTGTCATCTTTTTGTTGCTTTTTTAAATTATTGATAATAAATTGAAATTGTTATAAACAATATATAATTGTTTAAATTCATGTGGAGTCATTAATAACCAAATTGCATTAATATTAGTTTAGTTGTTTAACAATATTAATTATTTAATAAGTAAAATCCATTTCAAATGTCTTTTTACGAAGCTTATTTTACAGTTGTCGTAAAAAAAATGGCTGAACTAAATTTGTTCAAACTCCTTTCAAATCTTCTTCATTGTATTATCTTTCAGATGACATTTGTCTGGAGTCAATATCTTCAGTTGTTCTCAAGGTATCGAAAACGAAAAAAAAAAAACCAGACATACACTGCAAATTGTAGGGTTTTAATTTAAAACACTTAAAGTGTTTTAAAATGATGTTATTGATTTGATTAACATTGTAGTCACTTTTTAAACACTTTCAAGTATCTAAAAAGTAACTAGAATGTTTATCAAATGGATAATGTCATTTTAAAACGTGTTAAGTGGTTTAAATCAAAACACTTCCAAATTTAAGATTTGCAGTGTACGTACGTACAATTGTACGTACGTACAGACATTTATTTTTGAATCTAAAGACAAAATTACGAATTTTAAAAATTGACCTCATCACAATAATTTTATAATGGAGAGTTAATAATTGGAATTAAAAAATTTTAAAAAATAATACAGTGATTCGAAAGAAATATTTTAAAAAATAAAAAAAAAACATTTCTTTTATTTTGTTTTTTACGTTAAATGTTTAAATAATTAAGTAATAACACTTTCTATGAATGAATAAGTGAAAATTATTGAGAAAGTGAAGTGAAACACTTGAAAAAATTTATTAATTTATTAAAATCAGTTTAAAAATGCTTATTGCACTTTTTGTTTATCAATTTTTCAATTTATTAATGCATTAAAAATTATTAATATATTGAATAATTTGTGAATTTACTCGTTTCTTTCATGTTACACTCTACCCCTTTCTTCTTTATATTCATTGATTTACAGTTATAAACGCATCCCTATTTGAATTAGTGCCATTATTATCACTCCTAACAGTGAATATTCACTGATTTATTTTTAGAGAGCATAAAATTGATATTTTAATTTAATAAAAACGTTAAAAATAATTTTTAAAGCATTCTCAAGTATCATAATTGTTGGAGTAACGAGCGTTGTCAAGTTGAACCCTCCTTAATTCTAGGTTTATGTCAATGAGCATTACAGCGAAACATATACTTAACTGCTATTCATCTAGAATTATTATATTCTCTGTTGAAGTTTAATTTAATGATATAATTTAGTAATAATAACAACAATTACCTGTCTGGTTATTTATAACTAAAACAAATTAAATTATTACAATAAAATATTTTTTAATAATTTAACTCATCATCAAAAATATTAAAAAAACAAAGAAGTAAAAATGATTTATTGTTAATTTAAATTCTCTAATGCTAGAATAATTGTCAACGAGTCAAAAATAAAAATGATCTTTAATTATAAACTCTCATCAATACCAAATAATACCTCAAAGAAGCATACGATTCTATCATTCACGTTGATTTCAGAATCAAACGTTCCATTTCCTTCCTCCAAGTTCCACCCTGAGCTTATTATTAGAATATCGATCGTCTAATTTTCAGATAATTTCCTGATAATAAAGTCAGACAACATCAATAGAGCACAGATAAGAAAAAGAGCTTAACAAACATGACTAATGTTCATTCATACGAAATTTCAATCAATTCCAATAATAATAGCTATTATAAACCCCAAACATATAAATAATACAACGATGATGACATTTAAATGTCCCGCCATAAAAGCTTATCATCCCTCTGCTGAAATATTTGTCTCGATATACTCGGGGATGATCGTAATCGCGGCAATTACGAATAAGCATTTACATATGCGCACGCAATGATTGCTCACACGCACTAGAATACCCCTAGGGTAATATAAGACGCATAGAAAATTGATAGTTTAAAAACCGCGATGCGAATTGAGTTATTTAAAAGGGGGTAGAGTATTGTGGGTGGTCCACCACGGTGATAATCTAATTCTATATCTGAGCCTCCCTTGCACTATATAGTTTTCACTGTGGCCGAAAGCTTCAATAAATCAACCAGTTGCGCCCCTGGTGGAAAGCCGGTCTCGCGCACGCCCCTACCATGTTACCAGATGGCTTAATTTCATTGTGGCATACAAGTTAAAGCGAGAGAAAAAGAGAGAAGAAAAGAGTTTATGCAAAAATAAAAAGACATTTCTTCACTTTCTCTCTCTCCCAGTATCTACTTCTATACACGATGGAAATTTCACGTGATCGATTATCAATGGTCTTTTGTCTGGCAAACTAATGATTAAATAATTCATTTAATTGACGGACATTTAATTAAATAGAATTTAGCAAATGAACTAATGAACTATTAGTTGAATTTAAACTGCATTCTAATTCAAGGAGAAACAGTTGACGAATGTCTGAGTGCTCAATCGATCGGGGGATGCGTGCACTAGCAGCTGGGTTCTGGACTATTCGCGAGATAAAGAAGGAAGTAGAGGTACAGGAAGAGATGGCAGAGGAGAAAGAGAGAGTTTAAAAAAATAACTAACGAGAAAATAACGATCGATGCGAACAGGTTGACCCATATTTTTGTCTATTGTCTCGCTCGGATATCGATGCCAATCTCTGTATTATTTTATCGTTCTATCCTTTTTTTTTCTTCTTTTTTTTTTGCTATCCTCGTTAACTACATCAAACATTATTTATATGTATTTCACATAAAAAAAAAGAACATAAATTTAGCAGTGTAATGACACGAAACGCATTATGTAGTTGACGACCACTAGAAATTGCAGCCAAGTATTTTGAAATAAATACAACGATTAATGCAACGCCGATGATGCACGTGGATTTATGATCCTGAATAAAAAATGGACACATTGAGAGAGCAAGAAAAAGAGTATCTTAACACACATGCATCAACGCGTTTATTATTTGAAAATAACAGAAGACAAATTATTATATTGTAACATTCATAATGATAATAATGATAGTAATAATGATGATGATATAAACAAGTGAAGAAAAAAGAACAGAGATAAGAACATCTAAACACCAGAGCAGAGACAGCTATTTTCCCCTTTCACTCACGATTCTCGCCCCTCACAGTCGTGTATTTATTTCTCTCCCCCTGCGTTCCTACTCTATTTCCCTCCAAGAGATATTCCTTCAAATTTGTATTACTTTTTTGTGTGTCCCGGCGTCAGGCAGCCGAGTGCGGGCCGGTCTTCTTTCTCGTCGGTCTTTTTCTCCTCGCGCGTACAAAATGCTTTTTAGTCAACGACGACGCAGCAAGATAAGCTTGAGAGAACAACAGAGTGGGTGGGTTGGCATGAGAAAATACAAGTGGGGGAGTAAAAAGCGCGGTGCGTAGTGGTGCCACCTTGTAGACTTGACGAAATATTACAGAAAATAGAATTTCCTTCGCGGACCATGCGCGTAAACTTTAATCGAATTTATACTTCTTTATCGTTTCTTTTCCCTTCTCTTTAAACTCTCAAGGTAACGACTTTTAAATTCTTTCATCAATGATCTTATGTCTGAATATCTAGTCTCATGATGGTGGTCTAATTTGTATTTAGACGCTGCACGTGATTCCTCTTCACGGAAATACGTGCAAGAAGTTTATGACTCTTTTTCCCACTCGTTTGAGACATATTTCTTTTGGCAAGTTTATAAATTTCGCGAAGCGAATATATAAGTACGCGTCTGCGTGCTTAGATTCAATTGACTAGCTACTAATGTGCGCATGACATGAAAATTGATTGTCTCCTCGCGTTTCGCACAGAGTTTCCATCGATATTCAATACAGCCGGATGTTCTGGGTATAATGGGACAATTGAATTTTTGTTATTTTAATTAGAAATGAGCAAGTGATAATAACTAATTATTATGTCACTTTTTCTATGATTGTTTAAGAAGATAATACACACGTGTTAATTTACGTCGGTTTAGTATCACAAAACAAACCACTCGCGCGTACGCGCTGTGTTCCGGTCGAACCGGAAGTTGCGAATTTTTTATTTTAATTTTATCCCCCACTGCTTTGGATGTTAATTGACGATTGCCATTCAAAGATTTTGGTCTCGCCATCTGTCGGCGCGCCACTCAACTTTGAGCTATTTAAATTAAAATGGCTACACCGGCGAAAAAACGTGAGGTTGATAATGATGCGAAAGAAAATGAAAAAGTGGATAGTAATGATGAAAATAGTGATGAAGGTGAAGAAGATTTAAATGATGAACAGGTAGATATACTTGTATAAATAAATTAGTTGTTTATCAATAGAAATTTCGGAGAAATGTTTTCCTAACCTATGACCATGTGCTCGGAGGAGCTTTAAATGTCATAAAAAGATTATTAATAATTTTCTGTTTCTTTTTTTAGGGGAAGAAGATTATGGTTGATTTCGTCGGACGTATACCTGAAGACTCTGATTTTCATGGAATTAAAAATTTGCTTCAACAATTATTTTTGAAAGCACATATTAATATTCAAGCTTTGGCTGATTATATTATTTCACATAATTATGTAGGCTCTGTTGTTAAACAAGGAGTTGGGGATGACGATGATGATGATGATGAAGACGATGACGATGATGTTAATGATGTTTATGGAGTTACTAGTATTATTAATATATCTCAGGGACAGGTAAATATTTAATTTATCATCAATGAAAATGTTTTGTGATAACATATGTTTATATTTTTGATATCTTTCACTTTGTTGTGTAATAATGATTTATAACAATTATTCCTCAAATAAATTTATTCCACAGAATGAAGAATGTATTCAACAACTGAGAAATCTTTTGAAAGAATTAGCAAGTGATTATGCAACTGATTCAACTAATGCGATGATCAAAAGTATTTTGGAAAACGATTCAGCAGCTCTAGGCTTAATAATCAATGAAAGATTTATTAATATTCCGGCAGATATTTCAGTGCCACTTCTTGAAAATTTAGTGTCTGATATAAAAAAGGCCAATGCCAAAAAAATGCCATACGACTTTCAATATTATGTTTTGATTTCTAAATTGTATAAACCAAAGACAAGTGCAAAGAAATCTACAAAGAAAAAAGGAACTGAGGAACCAGAAGTATTTTGGAGCAACCAAGAAGAAGAAGTACTTGAGGAAGATGCACTATGTACGTTTGAATTCTCAGTCGATAAAGAATCTGATACAGGAATTTCAGGAACATGGGCAGAAGATGATGATGAAATGATTCCCTATAGACGTGTGATGCTCTTTGAAGCATCAAAGCTACAACCAATGATTGATAAAATTAAAAAATTTATTGCAAATTAATTCGAACATTTACATGGCTTGTATGCTTCTCCATCGACGCTTATATAATAAGATAATGAAAACATGATTTTTTTAATGTACATATATATAAAGATTGATAGGTGCGTGAGCTGGAAATCACCTATTTTTTTATCTACGTTGCAAATTGGATGTTGAATGCATTGTGCATTTTAATTGAGCTGAGTAGACATGTCTGGAAAATTAAGAGATTGTCTGACGGGTTTAGCACGTCTTCTCATTGTTCCAAGTATGTTTAACATCTCTGAAACTGCAGCTGGAGCGCTTTCCATTTCTCGCTTTCTTCGACGTTCCTCTTCTCTCTGCTTCTGTATAAGAAAAAAAGGCATTCATGAAATAAATGAAATTTTATACTTGTCTTGATAAATTTATGTCTTACATCTGTTTGTTTGAGTGTAAACCTTCCTCCTTTTATTTGGTTTATAATATCATCAATTGCTGAAACATAACAATTTATTTATCAATCTTTAGAACAACTTAATAAGTAATATGTCTCGAATTTTTTTTCTTGGTATTTAAAAGCAATTTTAGGTTTGTTTTTATTGATAGTAAGGTATTTGGATCATTACCAGGTTGTTGAGGAACTGCTGGTGGTTTCTTAGAAATTCCAAGCATATTTTCCATATCAACAATAGCGGAATTTCTATTCTGGTCATGTTGTTGTCGTTCTCTGGTAAGTAGTTTAACTGAAGAAGCTGAAATACTCGATGACTGTGGGAGCGGTGGAGGTGGTGGTGGAAGTGGTGGAGGCGGTGGTGTACTTTTTTTCTCTATTTCACAGATTTTTTCTTCCAACTTTCTGACAATCTCTTCCAACCGTTGGACTTCTTTTTCAGCTCGTTCGGCTCGTTCCTGCATCATGTTTAATTCAACTTCAGCTAATTTTAACTTCTCCTCTACAATTTCAAACTCTACATTCGATTCTTTCTCTTCAAGCTTATCTTGAAGTAGTTGAATTTGCTCCAAGTGTTCCTGCTTTTCTTCTTCGAGGAGTAACTTAAGAGATTCAACTTCTTGGAGAACGGTTAGTAGCCTTCCATTCGGATCATCACTCACTTCTGCCATTAGCAGAGCACTTTGATGAGCCAGAACATTACGTTCTTTTTGCATTCTATCAGCTTCCATCTTCATTATTTTAGCATTTTCTCGTTCTCGATCACACTGAACTTTTAGTGCTTGAACTTCATCAGCTACCATACGAGAAACTCGTTCCATATTTTCCTTATGAATTGTCAGTTGTTTGATTATTTCTTCACCCTTTTCTCTCATTTCTTTCTCATCTTCTAACCTGGCATTGGTTAATGCTGCTTGCTCTTGAGCTTCAAACTCTTGAAGCCTAGCAGAATTTAATTCAGTTTGAAGTCGTGCCACTTCAGCACTTAATTCTGTAAAAAATATATTTGATAATGAAACAATGATTGATAACAAATACTTTATTGATAAACAATATAGATTGCTTATAAATCACAGATTTTAAATAGCACATTAAATTTATCTTATCGTTGTTGGAATTTTTAATCATGCAAAAGGATCATTTTAGTCATTAAATTTCTTGTTATTGTACTCAATGTATCAAATTGCTATATAATTATAAAATAATTTGATATTCTAATTGTTTTTTGTCAGAAAAATGAAAAATGAGATTTCCTAATTACATTAATTAATAGATATTTCAATAATTATTCAACAATTTAATGAATTGAATAATTATTTTAATTCAATAGCAATGGAGTTATCGTAAAATGAATTTCTAATCACCAGAGATGGTTTGACGCAATTCTTCAGCATCGTCAGCTTCATTAGCATCAACCTCATCTGAAAGATATGAATCATCGGCCATGGCATCAGGGCGTGATTCAAGGATCTTTTGAGCAAGTACTTGTGATCTCCTCTTCAGCTGTCGATTTTGCTTATACCACTGTAAGATCGAGGAAATTAATTTAAAAGCTTCAATTCGATCATGGAGACTTGGTATAGTGACATTGAAAACCTACTTGAGATGCTTGTTGCATCGCCTTGTGCATCGCCCCCGTCTCAACGTCATATTGACGTTTAAGTTGTTCATACTCTTTGCAAACTGCTTCTGACACTGAAAGAAGAATTCAATATGCACTAAACCATTTAGGGTCTCTCAGGAAGTCTCTTCAAGGCTCTCTGAGTGTTGATAGTAATTGATTAAATGTACCTGTTCGTAATTTTTGTAATTGCTCATCTTTATCACGTACTTGTGATTGTAGTGTGCTATTTTCTCGGACCAATTGTTGGTGTCTTTTTTCAAGATCTGTGTGTTCTTTGTGCACTGAAAATCATAATAAAAATATAATTAATTGGTTTAAATTATTTTATGAAACAATATACAATATATTGTTGCTATATTTATATTAAAATTAATTTTTTATAAATGTATGTTTCTTTGGATATTTTCTTCATGTAAATAAAAGATTAATGACGAATGATATTTATTCATAAAAGTCGATAGAAGATTGTTTAATAATTAAGGTTGATTAAAAAAATGAATATTTAGCAAAATTATTCCTTGAAGTTATCGAAATTTATCTATTTAATTGCTTGAACAGTTGGCTTAGGTTTATTTATTTGACTATAAATAACTACAACAGTCGTTTACAGCTGTAAAAAGCATTGCTTGGTAATTGAGAAAAACTTTTCTATATTAATGTTTTACTTCAGAATAAATAAATGATTTACATAAAGTTTGACAACGTCAAAAATTGAAAAATTGATTGAAAATAATTAATTCTTTAACTAATTATACAACATAAATATTTATATATTTTGATTCTGACTGATTAAAATAAACAATATTCTTGTTTTAAAAAAAAAAATCTTTAAAAAGTATTTTTAAGCGTAAAATAATATTTTTTTCAAGAAAAATATTGATTGTTTGATTTGTATCAACAAATTAACATTCATTTATAAAAATTCAAAATAATTTTTAAAAATATCTTACCGATTTCCGATTTTTGCAGAAGAATTTTTCTCTTTTTTTCAGAATCCTCATACTTAAGCTTCCAATTAACATCCAGACTTGTTACAGTATTATTATTAGTACCATTCAACTTGAAACTATTACTTGGGCTAAATGTTTTTCTAACTGGTGATTGTCGTCCATTATCTTGAAATTTACTTTGGAAATTGGAAACGATCGAATTATCATTAAAAGTTCGTTTTTGAAGATTGGTAGCAGCTGCTGCTGCATCAAGTTTTTCAAAAGACGCTTTATGAGCAGCCACAGATGTTATTCTACCTTGCAAAGTAGGACTTGGTGAATTTTTATCAATTGAGGTAGAAAGGTTTCCACGCTTTGTCAGCGAGTGTAGAGTTGATTTGTTAGGAGTGATGAAAGATTTAGGTACTGGAATGTGGGAATGATTAGTCATAGTCGGTGTCTTCACTCGTCCTATCTCTGGAGACGAGATGTTGCAGGTCAACTCACTCCTATGCATGATCGTTTCTGGAAGGGAAGTATTAATCGTTAGATTGATAAAATACTTATATATAAAAGCTCATCCGCTTCTTAAGCGGAAGGCGCAATTGACTCATCACTGATAAAAATTAATGATGATTATTATAGTTAATTACAAAATTAGATTCAAGATTAATGATAAGAGTTTATACATTTTTCTCAGAAATAAACGGATTATAATTATTTACAAGTAGTGGAAGCAAATAAATTCTTTTTACAGTTGAAATTTAAGATGAAAATTAATGAAAAAATATCTCAGAGAAATATATATGTGACAAATTTTTCTCAGATCATGTAAAATTTACAAAAAATTTCATCTCATAAACAAGATTATCATGTTACCTTTGTAATAATGAATTTTGTAAAAAAAAATTAAAAAAAAAAATTTGATGTATTGTTATGTAAATGAATGAATAATATAAATTACACAAAAAAAGTAAATAATAATAAAAGTAATGATAAAATAATTCATTTTTTTGATAAAAATCAATGGTGGTTGTTTCTTGTAAGAATTAATTAAAATATGTTTAATAAAATTTATTAGATTTTTTGTATAAATATAAAGTTAAATTAAGGGTAGGAAAAAGGACATGAGATCCCTAAGGGGTTCATTGAACACAGATTCACTCTAAAAATACTCATCCTCCTGCCCCCTCCGAGGAGAAAGCCTAATATAAATCTAAATCTCTTCCATGTGTGTCTGAAAGACTTCACATATTCAAATAATCGACTGTTACGTGCGTGTTTATACTAGAACTTGCATTTATTCCAAGAGAGATTGTATGACCTCAAAGACTTTCCCTGATTGCTTCATACTTCTCATTATAGTGTAGTTTCTTTACACATCTGACAAAATAAACATGCAGCCTTTTTCAACTTAGGAAATTTACCGAGTAAAGCTGCGAAAAAAAATTCTAAAATACTACCATTATATAATTATTTTACTACGAATGGATTGAAATAACTTATCGTAGAAATTTTTACAAATAGTAATTCATTATGTAAATGATTGTTAAAATTAACTTTAATTGAATAAATTTAATTAATTGTGACGAAGAGTGAATCATCATTTCATCTGTGCATATTCTGAGAGGAAAGTGTATACACAAGTGTGGATATATCACTTAAAAGACACTACGTATATTATTGGATTGCGAGAGAACTCAAGCTTGAGTCACACTCTGCATTAATAGTCTGGTATCTCCTTTGTCTTTCTAGTCCATGAATTTGCACTTGACTGGAATTCACGGATATTTAACACTACTATGTTGAAAACAAATAACAAAAAAAAACACAACCACCAGAGATTTCAAACTAAAAATTAAAACACCGTATAATAATTGATCTTACATTAATTGAATCTTACTGTCATGAGTAGCAAAATGTTCTAAGAAACTTTCACAAAGTGCAGTGTGAGATAGAAGTACTTGACGTAGCGAAAGAAGAAAAACTTATGAAGGAAACAGTGTTGTGCAGGGATATATGTAATATCGAAGTAGCGGCGCCGGCGTGACTGTACTGGTGTATAAAACCTCCTAGACGCTAAGCGAGACTGCGATTTGTCGTGGTATGGCCTGTGCTTCTCCCACGTGCTACGGGCTTGGCTGGTCCAGCATGCGTGGGGTCCATTTGTTAGGTTTAAGAAGTTAAAATCACATTCCAGACCCAGAAGCTCTAAAGACCTGCTTTGATAGGAACCGTGAATAATCTTCTACCAGTTCCAAAGACTTGTTAACAATTACTCTAATTTTTATCGATCCTTAGAAGTCTGGATCCAACTTGGGCTTGGCTTTCTAAAGATGAATGAAATTCCTTTGCATCTTCTGAAAGAAATATGCTGATATCAAACGATGAATGAATAATTTACTATTAACTTGAAGTCTACCTACTCATTGATGACTTTAATATTACTTATGATCCAATTCGAAGAAACAAATTTAATCAAATCCATGAATAAATTATTATAAACTTTAAAGGCTTGTGAACAATCATTCTATTTTTATTAATATTAACAAGCTTAGGGTGAAACTTGGGCACGGCTTCTTGTATATGAATAAAATGTTTATATTTAAAAAAAATCCAATTCAAATTTAAGTGTATGTATTGACTGTATATTTTATGAATAATTACAATCTGTTCAATATTGAACTTTAAGAGCTTCCTAACCAGTTGCGTTTATTACTTTTGTATCAATTTTTATAGCCACTACAAACATCATCACTTGTTTTTTACTCTAGAAAATTGTCAGTTATAAAAAAGTGTTGAAAATGATATCATGTAATTTATTATCAATCTGAAGCCTACATAATCTACTATTTGCTTGTTATTGTCATCAAAGACCTCTATAAAAATCTTTATGACGTGATTGAAGTAATTAAAATCACATTCTACGTGCTAATACTTAAAAAAACAACTCAGAATAAACCACAATATGACAGGAATAGGCTTAAGATCAATTTGGATTTTTCTCAAGTTTTTATTTTAGTTTTTATTATGACTGAAATACTGTTTAAAATGATCAAGTTAGCCTTTAAATCGTTAGTCATAGCTCTGACACTCGATTAACTTGTCTTTGTCTCTTTGTGTGGTAAATATTCCTTATTTCTTGAAGATATCGTTAAAGTATTCCCCACTTTCTGTGGTTTAATGTGAGACTGACTCATCATTATATGATTGTCATATGTTCATACGTGTGTTAGTTCAATCCCACAATATGATAATAGATACATTCCTTACTTCATGTGAATATTAGATTAACCTTTTCTTTATTTTGGAATTTTTTCCTCGTACTTTATCACGACACAATGTGACATTTGATTTTCAAATCATTGATCTTGTAAAAATTTATCAAAATCAATTAAGTAAATAGCCATGTCAGGTAATTTACTCTTATCCTTGATCACATAACGAGTAAAAATATACCATTTTTACTCCCTATCATATTACTATCTAATCTTATTTGCTTAACTTAGCTCCAAAACCCAGAGGGTCTGCTTCAATAACTCTGGAGATGATACGCCATGCAGTTGAATCGCTGCAGATGAGACGTAGTTATGTCAGTTTAAAGATGATTGCCAAGTATTTATTGACACATTATCCTGTAGAAAGAAATTTTAATTTCTTAGAATTGGAATTAAAAGAGCAATTAGACCATGCAGTTTCTTTAGGGATTTTATCGAGAACTGATATGGATACTTACTGTCTATCATCATTTAGAACAGAGGCTTACAACTATAAAACGGATCTTTCATCATTTTGGGAACGTCACTATAAAGTAACACTTTGTTTCCATTGACTATACATCAACATGATAAGAAAATTATTTGACAAGTATTATTATTTAAATTATTTTTGTAATACATATGCTTGTGTAAATTTTTAGAAAAGACCTGGACGTCGTTTAAAACCGCCTCCACAAAAAAAGAAGATTGATTCGAATCTCAGTCTTGATAACAGTGATGATTTCAGTGATTTTAGTGATGAATATAGCGATTCTGATTATTAATGAAATTTATATCAATTATTCAAAATTTTAGAGAATTAAACTGGAATTTATTTCCAGTAATACTAAGCTTTTAATCAATTTAAGTGAAAACAATTTATACACTTTAATAATCGTTTCCATACTTAGAAAAGTAATTGAGCATATTAAAATTCATTATAAAAACTTATTCAAGGTCATATTTATTATTGTTCAACCTTTATTTATGTCATTCAACCACGGAGAAGAAAAATACTGATAGAATTATACACTAGCGCTGTTTGTGTCGGTAACAAAAATTGTAGATGACTAGCTAACTGTCGATAAAGCAGCAACAAGGTACAATCAGCACCATCATGTGTAAAATTACGTAATTGAGAAGTCAAGTCAAAAGAGAGAGAGAAAGCAAACTCATACGTCCGCAGTTTTGTTCCAGTATGCGTATATCTTCTGATTGTGTCTGACTTCATCATCACATTGCGTCTTTTTTCGAAATGGAAATGAAGTTTTTCAACTTGTTTTTCTGTCGTACGTTCAAAGTTTAACTTTAATAAACCATAAGTGAACAAGTGATCACGTAAGAAAAGTACGAAATTAATTTCCGGCTTCTTTTACGTTTCTCGATCACGTATACAGCTTCTAACTGCAGTCTAACTCATTATTATTGACTCACTGAAGGTTTAAGGATGACAAACTACCAACAAACTGGATCTTCTAATTTACTTGGGTCAACGTAATTATTGAACAGTACATTAGGCAAGTGTGACGAGTGACTGAATTAATTAAATTTAATATACACTAGTGGACGTACAACACTTTTTGGTGAGTGTTTATTTAATTCTATATAATTTAGGCAAACGTTTTGTGGGTTTTATTTTGACAGCACCAAGACCGCATTGCGGCTGTCGATGCTTAGGATTATTCATCGATATTTTAAACACGACCTAATCATAAAACAATATTTATTCATACCATGACTGTAATATTTGAGTGACATAAAAATTTATTATATATTAAATTACAGGAAAAAATGAGTTCACAACCAATCTCAGTCCCGGGAGGAGACAGGTCCCATCATCAACCAGAATCACAGTCTATTTCCGCTGGTCACACTACAGAAACATCGAAGACTATGACTCCTCCACACGTCAGCAGGTCTTTTAACAACCGTGAGTTGTTTTTCATGAATATTATTGTTTTCCACATGCTTCTGTATTAACAACTGATAAGGGAAACAGTTGATAAGGTGATAGAACAATCTACACAAGCTTATCCCTTCGAAAAGAAATCACTATACTTAATCTAACTTCACTTTTATTTACATCACGTTAACTAATGCTATATGTGATGCATTTTATTAATGAATTCAAGCTTCTTTATTCAGATGAGCAAATGGAATATAGTAATTAAATTTGCTGATGTAGAAAATAATTGGAAAAACAGAGATATACTTTTATTTTTTTTATCAAAGAATTTCAAAGATAAATATTCAAAGGCAGACAAAAAATGCCTTTGTAATTTATGCTTTAATAATTCTAATTAGATTATATTACTTGAATTATAGCTGAAGCTTGTAAATTGAAATTAATCCACTAGATAGCTTTTAGTTTTTAATTTATTGAAGCTTGTTACATTTTTTTCATTTATCTGACAAGAATTTACAACTATAGTAGTACCGCTAAACTTTATTCATAACTTATAATCATAACAAACTATTTTTTTTTTGCACTATCATTGACTGTTTGATCTTATAATCATAATTAAAATATATTCTAAGCCTTGCACGTAATCGAGCTCCAGCCATGCAATTAGCAAGATGAGCTCGAAGGTGTTCTAGCACACTTTGTCCACCTGCTAGCGTGTTTTGATAATTGGAATACGTTTTAGAGTTTATTATAGTTAATATCCAAATATTTTCACTATATATTCAATCAAGAAATGTTGACACATCTCTCATAAAAATAAAGTTTTATTGAAATACAGTTAAATATTTTTCGACCTAGAAATATCAAGACCATAGAGCGCGTAAGTTCATTAATATCAAATGAGTTAAGTTAGAACTTTTTTTGTTCACATAAAAGATAGAAATCAATATCAACAGACTTCGACATATATTTCCTTTTTCTTCATGTGTCTACTATTATTATGTTCACGAGTATTCCTAGTGTTTGTTAAGCTTTCAGTGTTAAACCAGTTCATATATAAACTGTTATTAGATTTTTTATTTTCTTCCGTAAATAATGTTATTTAAATGACAACTACTCAACTACATACTCATACTATACAGATCCTTTACATTTTTCAAGTACTCTTCAAGAGCATGAAGTAAAGATAGTTGCACCGAAAACTTTGTAATGGTTAGGTGGTTTAAATTGCCTTGTATTAAAGGTAAGACATATCATGTGATCTGGTCACATTTTTTAGCTCTTTTACATTGTTTGTTCATTCACAGAGAAATAAATGTGATATAATTATTACCATCTAGATTAATGCACTGATAACTCATGTACTAATCACTTAAGCTAGGTAGTCAAGAATTTTTTTTTTCTTTTAATTAAAATGTATCATATTAAAATTATCTAAGCACTGGGATCATTACTTAAAAGACCATAAAATGTTCCAGGAGTAAAACGTAAAAGAAAAGTAGTGAATGAAAAAAAAATGTTAGAATGTTTACTTGAATTATTTGATTGCTGTTATCAAAAATACTTAAATTTGCGATGTTGCATGTTCTTCTACCTTTGAATTGGATGAATTAAATGACAGATAATAGTGTTTTATACTCGTGAAAGAGCTAAAAAATGATCGGATTAAATTACAGTATGAACAGCAGTGTTTATGAGTTTATGTAATAATGGAATGAACGAACAGGTGTGCAGATAGTAGATATTTAATAAATATAAGAAAAGCAGAGTTATTCTATTTTAATAAATCATATTTAGCACCAGCAGATGATCGACGACAACGACAAGGCAATCCTCAATCGGTCCAACTGTCAAAGCTTCCATCGTCTGAATCTCTCACCACTAATGCTAATATCACTTCAGGTGCTCCTCCGCTTTCTCCAGGTATTTTATTTAATATCCTCTATCTTTTAAGAGGAAATAAAAAAAAATATTTATGCTCTCTGAATAATAATATGACGCGAGCATGTCGTTACTATTATATTTCACCTATTGGCATTTAAAGTATGGCTTCAAACTTCATCTTCTTAAATTCCCCTGTGATTCATTATGCTTCGAGGCACTCAAATTATACGCAATAGTGCACTTATTTTGACTAATGGTTTTATATATGAATTTTATTTTATTTGAATAAAATTTACATTTTCATTTTTATATTAATCATTAACTATCATGTTTTTCTCTGCAATAAAATTCAAATTTTCGAGGTCATTAAACAACTTCAGATGCCATTGGTAATGTATTATAAGAAACGGAATATTACTTTTTCTGCAATTGATTGAATTTCATATGAAGCATAAAAGTGTGGGAAAGAGATAATGACATTGAATAAAATGAATATTGTTTTATTAAAAATGTTATTAAATATAATTGGTTTACAATATTATATATTTCATAATATTTGTAAGCAAATTTAAATTTTTATTTTCATTTAAGCTTCTTTAATTATTGCATTAATTATTTTTCAGTTTTATGATAATTTTGAGCCTTGAATTTTTTTTTAATACTCAGTCCAATATTCCATTTCCACTACCAAGGCATTTTACTATTTTTATAGGTATCATAAAAGTAATAAATTCCTAGTTAGAATAAATGAATATTTATTTCAGATTACAACCGATTAGGAATTTAAATTACAAATTTTACTAGCTGAAATAAATATTCAAGAATTTATATGCAATATTTTTGTTTTTTATCAACAGAAAAAGAATGATAAATGAATATAGCCTAATTTTGATAGCATTCAATAATATTTGTTTTTGTTTGCTGAATTCCCCTCTCTTTATTCTCTATTTGTAATGAACAACGGTAAATCATTGGAGATAATCTAAAAAGATCTTTCGGATTTTGTAGGTTTATCAGGAATGGGTGAGAGCAGTCTCAAGATCGATAACTCATCGGAGAAGGTAACACTATTAAATTTACGAGTGCTAAAGTATTGATTAACTGATTATCCTAAAAATATATGTACAGTCTGTCGACACCAATAAATTAACGAGAAAAGAATCATATAAAGCCCAAAGGAAGAATTATCGTATTGAGAAGAAACGTGTTGCAAATGAACTACTGAATTCGTTGAAAGATCCAACGGTGATCGTTATGAGTGACTGGCTCAAGGTACGAGGGACACTGAAGAGTTGGACAAAGCTTTGGTGTATATTGAAACCTGGGTTACTATTGCTCTATAAAAGTCCAAAGATAAAGGTAAATTGAAAAAAGAATATTAACTATGACTGCTATGACTATTTGACTCTTACATTTGAGAATATTTTTAGAGTAGTCACTGGGTCGGAACAGTTTTATTAAACACTTGTCAGGTGATTGAACGTCCAAGTAAAAAGGATGGATTTTGTTTTAAATTATTTCATCCCCTTGAACAATCGATTTGGGCTCCAAGAGGTCCAGAAAAAGAAGCAATGAGTAAGAAGCCGTATTTTTATCAACTTTTTATTAGTTTTATTTCTATTGATTCCATTAAACGAAGAGTTATCCACAGCATATTCTTGAAATATCTTGATGTTTCTATTTAATTAAATTGTATTTTTTTTTATAATAATATTGATTACTATTAAAACTCATTCAAGTTGTATGTCATGCCATGTTGTCGATGATAAAAATCAAACTATTTATATAAAAGGAGCATATTTCTCTTATTTATGTCAAAGAGCAAATTTGAATGACTGAATAAAAATGAATGTCAGCTGACGATTATGCTGGTGGTTAATCTTGTATTGTACTAAAAATAAATAAGCAATAATTTTATTTATGACGAATAATGTAATTAATGTTGATGGATGATATGGATTTGGTTATTGATTAAATGAATATTTTAGGAGCTGTTGTGCAACCATTGCCAACGTCTTATCTAATATTCCGAGCACCCTCTCAAGCAGCTGGAAAATGTTGGTTGGATGCTTTGGAATTATCTCTACGTTGCTCTTCACTTATCGTTCGATCGATGAGTATCCTGCCACGTTCACCACAACACGATGCAACTACGACGCATGAGACTCAATGGAGTGAAGCTGACTATGAAAAACACTTTGATGATCACGGTAAGTATATGTGCTTTTTTTTTTTTTATTTCCTGGAATAAAGTATAGATAAAAAATGCGAATCGTCAATTAACAAAAGTCGATAATAATTTACATGTAATCAAAATGAAGCCTGTCAGAGATGTATATACATATTTACTTTAGCTTAACCTTATAAAAATTGTCTTCATTAAAAAGTATCTTTCAAATTAGAGGCGAATTCATAATTTACATTGGTACAGTATTGTCTATTTTTTATCTTATAAATAATCGTTAATTGCTCGCTTAAGCAGCACTGGGAAAAAAATTTTTTTCATCACGAAAAGAATAGTCATTAAGGTTAAATAAATATGTCATCGATTGAATAGTTATTGATAGTTAACAATGATTAAATTGGATGAATTAAAAAAAATTTATGAACTTCCATACGATCAATATCATTTTTTTCTCAGTGAACATTAAATGCTTCATCTAATGACGGTTTAGAAAAACGACGGAAACGTGGCTTTATTAATAAACTAGTGCATCTTAATTAAAAGCTTCTGGTTGCTTTATAGTAAAAAAATTTGATTAAAAATTAGACATTGGGAAGTAAACTAATGCTTTCCGATTATTATTAATGCTACTTTTATTGCTGGGTCGACATCATTCATCGGCGAGAAACTTATAGAACACAAACGCGACCAGACTTCATTAAATTTGAGTCGTTACGCACCTAGATCACCTACTACGCCTCAAAGACGCTTACTATCATGTCCTCAACCGCTGACCCCGGGTTATACAAGCGTTTCCAAAAGTGTTTGTCCTTCACCGACCCCGACGTTCCAGCACTTATGTCACGCAGTTGCTTATTGGGAAAAAGAGTTGCTTGGCAAGTCACCGTCACCCCCAGTTGATCTTACAATTTCGCCAACTCCCGGAAGTTCGGATAACGAGGGCTTGTATCAGTATAACATGAGCGATACTTCGCCCTCGTCGTCCTTTGTTTTTCCATCCCCTACCAGACGCATGACTATACCTTCTATCCATATCCTAGAGTGTAATACCCACCAAGTAGTAACGCTAGATCCTGTTCGTACCTCCCTCACAGACCTGGACGACATCAGTCAACCAGAAAACGGAGTGGTTGCCGATGCAGAGATCAGCGCCACTGAGACTGAATCCGAAGGATCTGGCAAAGAAGAAGAAAACATTTGCGAGACACCGTACATAGCTAATGAGAACGAGTTCCTTGGAACGGTAAGATTTTCATTTAAAACATTTTTAAAAATTCAGTTATTTAAATTTATTGATTGACATCGATTATCTAATTAACATTTCATGCTAATGATAAAGAAGGAAAGTTTATTATTCATAAATCTATCTATCATTGATTTTTAGCAGCACATTTACAAAATTGATGATAAAAAGCAGTTAGGTCCGTTGAATGACAATTTTTATTGTCAGGAAAGTAGAGTTTTAACTAGTTAAGTACCTAAACGTACCTGTTGATAATACATATAAAATAACATCACAAATCTATAGTACAAAAATGAATCAATGGAATTATTTATAAGTGTACAGTAACAGCAGTCAAACGAATTATACTAAAAGCTTATAGTGAAAGATGTTATAGTTCACAACCAGTCATAAACACATTTGTATGACACTTCAATCAGCAGTAATATTGACAACTGTCTCTGCCCGCTGACAGTTTTTTTATTTTCTTTTCCTCCACATATCACCGTTTAGTATTTTCCAATAATTCATTTTAAATAAAAAGATTGATAGCTTCCATATCACCATCTATCATTTAATTTTTCAATTACTTACACAGAATCAATTATTCATTCATAATTACAAAAAAAAAGTCGAAATCGATATTACTGACTAATTCTGAACATTTTTAATTACCAATTAATGTTGTTAATATATACAAACTTATATATTTCTTTTTAGGCTGGAGAAGTCGTTGCAGAACTCCAAGAAGAGCAAAAATCTCTCATCTGGTTTCTTCTGAAACAAGTACGGCCTGGTATGGATTTATCTAAAGTGGTTCTACCCACCTTCATCCTGGAACCACGATCATTCTTAGAGAAACTGGCAGACTCATATTACCATGCAGATCTTTTATCACAGTAAGTGGAGACCAGCAAATTATGTGAAAAGATGATTCATTCATCTGATATGATATTAACTTAATTACAAATAAAATTAAAATTTTTGTAGCTTGTTAAAAGATCATTAAACTGTTATTCCAATTTTTTAAAGTCTGGTATATTAAAGTTAGTTGAGGAATGTTGAACAAAAATGAGTTGAATGTAATAACACGACATCAATTTACAGGGCTGTTTTAGAAGACGATGCATTCACTCGTATGAAAGGTGTTGTCAAGTGGTACCTTTCAGGTTTCTATAAGAAGCCTCAAGGTCTGAAGAAACCATATAATCCATTATTAGGAGAGACGTTTAGATGCTATTGGCAACATCCCAATGGCTCACGAACTTTTTACCTAGCTGAACAGGTAAATAAAAGTTATTAAAAGTGTAATATAAAAGTTTATACTGTTTTAAAATATCATTAATCGAAGACTTACGATGGCTTCAAACTTTAAAACATTGTAACTAAATTGAACTGTATGAAAGAGTATAAAAATTGTCTTATAACTTTTTTCGAATCAAATTTACGTCAAAAATAACAAGTTTGATTACAAAATAAATCTACAAAGAAGTTAAGAAGGTTTTAGGAAGGCTTTCAAAAAAAAAGTTTCAAATGTTATGAGCAAACATTATTTGCTGTTTTAGGTTTCCCATCATCCACCCATTTCTGGATTTTACGTGACAAACCGCCAAGATGGCTTTACAATTAGCTCCACAATAATTGCTAAGTCAAAATTTTACGGAAATTCAACTTCTGCAGTTCTTGATGGAGCAGCAGTGCTAACGATGCTTCCACGTGGCGAGGATTACTCTATGACGATTCCTTATGCACATTGCAAAGGAATAGTTATGGGTACCTTGTCCATGGAGCTCGGTGGCAAGGTTAACATAATCTGCGAAAAAACAGGTTATAATACAGAACTAGAATTTAAATTAAAGGTAAGTTTATTTCTGATTAAAACCAGGTTAAGAGTTTAAATTTTAATCTAGGTTTTTAAATAATAAATAAAGAAATTTTTTACTAGCCGTAAATTATGATTCTTTCTTTTTTAATATTATGCGAAATGCATAAATTTTTATTATTTAAAAATCTTTATTTAAACTTTCACTCATAACTGGTATTTCGCTTTTTTAATTACTTATTTTTAGAATAAATGTAATGAATTTTTTTCATTAAGAAATGAAGTAATTAATTACGTGAATGATGTTTATAGCCCTTCCTTGGCGGTGCTGAACAAATGAATCAAGTCGTTGGACGAATAAAGCTAGGGAAAGAGACTTTAGCTACAATTTCTGGCTATTGGGATGGTCAAATAAATATAACAGATAAAAGAACAGGAGTAAGCTTTCATAAATTTAATTTAATTACGAAAGTTCATTTAATTAATAAAAAAAAATTAATCAATAATACTTTTTCTCAACAGCAAGAAAGTGTGTTGTTTAATTCCACTCCTGAAGTACGTCGAGCACGTCTAAAAAAATATACAGTACCTATTGAAAATCAAGGAGAATGGGAGAGTCAAAAGCTGTGGTTAGCTGTAACCCAGGCAATAAACAGAGATGATCAAATTGCTGCTACCGAAGCAAAAACAATTTTAGAAGAGGCTCAAAGGGAACGTGCAAAAGAACGTAAACTGCATAATGATGAATGGATACCAAAATATTTTGTACAGGTTGTTAACATAACAGTTTTATCGATCCTACTATTAATACTGATAATTGCGTCATTGTATTTTATTTAATCTATTGAATTTAATGAGTTAATCTCTTTTTTCACTGATAGGATATTATCACGGGTAACTGGATATACCGACATGCAGATATTCGACCGTGGGACCCACGTAATGATGTCGTTCAGTACGAACATGATTACATCATACGCACAAAAACTCGTCATAAGACTCCTATCATGCGAACCGGAAGCATTGTTTCTGCAGATCCACAATCACAGGTACAGGAATCAAAAATTGGCAAATGGAGGAGAAAATGGTTGAAGTAAAGAAGGAAATTGGGAACAAGTGTTTTTAAGAGGATGAGTGAAATAATTGCATGCTTGTTTGTTGCTGTTATTTAGATATTTAGTTGAATATTATTTATAAAAAATATTATAATAAAAATGTATTTAATTTTATGACTTTGCTCTTGCTAATAATCTATTGGAATAGTATCACGAATTTTGGGCAAAACACGTGAGAATTTGTTGCACGCGTTTGTTTTTTATCGAGTGGCAATATAATGATTTCAGATGCCGTTATTACAGGCGGAGTCACGTTCATCGTTGTCTGTTCTTAAATCATCTAAGCGTCAGCTATCTAGCAATATGCCTTTATCAGAAGCTGCTCATGATTCTGGTAGTTCTTCAGAAGCACTACACTCTGACTCAAGTCAATCCGTAGGGAAAAGAAGGCGATCAACTGCTCGGTAATTTTTTTTTTTTCTTATTTAATCGAAGATAATTATAGCAAACTTAGTCTATAAATATCTATAAAGAGTTTTATTTTTATTAACAAGATCAGATCGCTAATAAGTATGGTTTCTTTTCATCAAAGAAAGTATCATTAAAGTATTTAAATTGCGATATAACAATTTAAAAGTCTTTTATTCAATTGTTGAAGATGTTAAAAAAAATTTTCAAAAAGGATGTTAATTAGAATTATTTATTTTTAGAATGATGCACTCAATTAAAGAGGTTGAAAGTCAAATATTAGAGCACGGTGAGAAATTGAACCGAATTCAACGGTCATTAGAACAACTTGCTATCCGACAAAGAAGCATGAGGGAGCAAAATAGCAATCCAAGTATGATGAAGAATTGTATAGATACAGTAATTATCATTGCTGTCGTTTACTTCGTGCAATATTTTGTAATGATATGGAATCGAAACAATACAGATGCCAAAGAAACATGGTAAGATAATATAATATTTTATTTATTTACATATCATATCGATAAATTTGCGAAAAAAATTGTTTTATCTTTATGTTGCTTTTTATTTTAATAACAATTACATCAACTTGATAAAGTTTCTATTTATAATTGAAGTAGTATAAAGACACAATTAAGTAATTCTTATTAAAAATTATTTTGTAGATCACCGACAAATGAACTGTCGTTGGATTAAAAGTACTTCTTGAAATTTCTCCACTCTGCTCAGTTGTTTGGTTTCTTTAAAGTATATATAAATATATAAAAAGGGTAAAGACAAGAAAGGCATATTGTACTATTAAGTGTATAATTGAATCAGTCTTGTAAACTACGCACTGTGGCATATTTATTGCATAATCGTGTTTTTTCGTACAGTTATAAGTCCAATTGAAAGGTTAATATCAGTATGATGTATATATATATATATAATTTAAAGAAGGACACTCGATCCTCGAAAAATGATATATATTCATATACATAATGTTTATAATTAATTTTATGGCTTGACCACTCTTGAAATATGTTCTGAGTGAAGCTATCGATCTAATGGATTTTTATGTTTCGTTTTGTTTCTGTTTATTGTCGCTTTTTTAATTTGTCAGGGATTGTAAGAAGAACTGAACATTTTTAATAATTACAATTATTAATGATAATCATCGCAATAGTGATATAAATTTTTATTGATAATAATCAACTAAATCAATAGATATTATTTTATTCAATTAATTTTTTAAAACGATAACTATACTTTTTTATACAAAACTATTACGAGTCAGTGTAGTCACTAATATTAGGACAATGATGAAAAATATATATTATTAAATAATTAAATTGTTCACAGTACCTAAATTAGAATAATAAATGCACCGAATAGGTAATATTGTTATAAATTGACAGAAAATAGAAGTGTTTGCTGTTTATAAGATTTATAACTTGAATACTGCTGTTATCGGTGTCTATAATATATTATAAACTTTTTTTTTTTTTTTGATGTCATGTAGCTCACTATTATTTCTTCAAACTCTACTTAGTTTTGTTAAAACTTTCCATAACAATATTACCAGGGTATGTTAAAAAATAGCTTGTCAATAGGTTATAGTGGCTTTTACAAAAATGAATCATGATACAGAGTATTTCTGATATATTAGTGATATAATTGTAATCATATGGTTGCTTATTAGACCAAAAGTTGATCATTCCACTATAAAATGACGTCCTATAACAGCTATACTGATTTTTTCCATATTGTGAGATTTTATACAAGCACTTGATTATTTATTCCAATTATAAATAAAATAAACTAATAAAAATAAGAGAGATCGAATCTATTGTCCTTATGGCAACAAATGTCAATATTTAAATAACTAATCGCTGCGCGATATTTCCCCATGTGATATTTTACTCTATTTAATCGCCAGATTATTAAACACTGATAGAACAGGAGACAGAGTTAATGAAATATATTAATAACAGAACAATGATATCAATATATTGAGGATTTTGTTACAAAAAATAATAACAATGTACCATTATTTAATTTAAAATTTTCTTTATTATAATCAAAAATTTACTTTAACAATATAACGGCTATTTACATTTGTAAATAATGAGTTTATTTGTGAGTATTATTAAATATATTGAAAAAAATGAATGAAAAAATGAGTATTAATCAACACATCGTAATTTTTAATTAAATAATATTAAAAAATTAGTTTAATTAATACTGAATTGTAAATGAAATAATAATTATTGATTAAGTATTTCTTTCATCTGTATTACAATTATTTTAAAGTAGGTAATCACTGTATCTACACTATCATTATATCCTTGCATAAAAATTTATACGTATATATCTGCTTCTGATTTTATAATAGGCTTGTTTCGGAAAAAGTTCTTTATGTATTGATTCACACATTCCTCTTCTGATTATAAAACTTATGAGAATGAAAGAACTATGTCAGAATTTATAATTTATAATTTATAATTGAATAATTGAATAATTGATATTTACCTGGAAATGTGTTTTCAATAAGAAGCATATCCGAAATATGTTTACCGACTGCTTTGAACAGCAATCTATCTTGGATCATTTTTTTATTATAATAAGGCATCAAATATTTTACAACCCAAGGAGCAATCCTTTCTCTACAAGCAGTCAAATGTTCTTCAATATGGATCGGAGATTCGGGCATCATTTCTTCTTCTTCTTCAGATTCCCCAAAAAGTTCAATAAACTTAGCTCTTAATCTTCCATGTTTCCTATAATTCTTGACAGATAATTCCATCATTTTATTCTTCAATTTCAAAACTTGATGAACTCGTTCAACAAACCAAATGCCTTTTTTTTTCTTCATTATCAAATCTTCTTTATTCTCTTCTGGCAAAGAATTGCCACTTTCATCTACAGCACGTTTTTTCAACTTTTGATAATTTGAAAATGATAATTTTCTTTTTCCACTATGTTGTTGATCAACAGAGGTATTTTCTTTAATTTCCAATTTTTTTGTCATCTTTACAGAAGATGCATTATTCTTCGTTGTTGCAGTAGACGTTTCAGTACACATTTTACTTATTTCTTTATCCATATTCGTTTTAGACACACCTGAATGTTTTTCTATTAACGTCATTAAATCACTACTATCATCACTTTCACCAAACATGTTCTCTAAATTTTCTATCAGTGAATCTCTAGACTCTTGGTCCTCATTTTGTGTTGTACTCCTTACATCAATTAATGTTTCTTCATCAAATATATCCGGTACATTTGTATTATCACTAACACTATTATTTACAATTGTCACTTTCTTATTATTATTCTTACAGTCTTCAATGTTGTTCATTTCATCATCTTTATTACTAGAAGTATCTAGTAATTCTACTTTATCTTTTTTATCCCATTTATCTTCTTCATTAACTTTTATTTCTTTTTCTATTTCATCAATGATATTAGTTTGATTTTTTTCTAATAAACTAACATCGCACTTTGATTCATTTTCAAACTGCTGAATATCTGAATTATAAAGCGATTGAGTATTTTGCTGCATATTTAAATATGTTGCTTCAATAGGACTCACATCAAATGATGTTTGCACAGAGACATCAACAGTCTTAGGAGAAGAATCAAGAAAAATAGCTAATTTACTATGAATTTTTCGTTGATTAGTATTATCTTTTATATCTGATATCGTTTTGAGCATTGCTTGTCTATATAAAGACGTTGCTAGGGAAGCTTTAACAGCATTTAATTCTAATAAACTAGCACATCTCTTCAATTCAGCTTTAGAAATTTTTTTCTCTTTTATTGCTGTACAACAAGTATTATAATTGTTGATAATAGATTTATGTAGATAAGAAAAATACACTCTTCTCACCTGAAAAAAAATTGATTATTTATTATTAATTTTCAATATTAAAATATAAATGTTTTATTAAATATTATTCACAATAACAAACAAATGTATTTTAAAATACTGATCTAATTCTTCTTTTAATTTAATACAAGTCTAACAAAACAGTGATATGATTTATTGAAGTAAAAAAAGATTGTATGCTCATGTATATTTTAATTTATTATTGTGATGATAATAATTATGTTAAATTAAAAATATTATACTTACCAAAGAAGTAAGCTGTAAAAATTCATCTTTGGCATCAGCTTTACTAAAACAATCATTGTCGAATATAAGTGGTTGTAGAAGTGAACACATACTATCATTGTCTTCACTGTAAAATTCTGCACTCTCAATTTCACTTATTCTTTCATCTTTTTCTTTTTTTATGTTAAAAGGCAATGGTAAATCCATTGGTCGTGTCGCAGTCATTGTGATTATCACACAATGTTTTTTAATCGCGAATCAAAACCTAAACTTGCAACCTCGCTTAGAGAAGGTTAGGGTTGTTATGGAGTACAGGATTTAGTACACGGATTAACCGCATGAAGCGCCACACTCTACATTATTTTTATTAAAGCTCGATAACTTTTCAACTGTCGATAATTTTTTTGTCAAACTGGCAGATTGTTTACCGACTGATGTGTGGCAAAAAAAACATTTCTTAGAAATGCGTCAGTAAGATGGCTTCAGTTGTTCTAAATGCTTCGAAACGAATTTTGTGCTCCGTTTCAAATCCGACAAAATTTAGATTATTAATCAATAGATAAATACATAATTCTCAATTCTATATTGTATAATTTTAGTCAGCATTATGAATAATGAAGCTAGATATAATGACTTAATTCCAATAATACCCAGTAAAGCTTTGTGTTCTGATTATAATTAAAATATTAACTGACCAGGTTATTATTAACACCTGCTTAAGCATATTATAACAAATACGTTGTAGTGAAGCAATTAAGGGATGACATAAATCCCCTAGTTCAGTGCATTTTCGAGCAATGTCGGATGAATCCGTGAATACAAATCAATGGAAACAACGGTTGACCGCGCATTTAATTTCCATTTTCCCCCCGCCTGGATACTACGAGTCCCATTATTGCTGTGGCAAATCCGAATTGGCATTAACGCTTCAATTGCTTAATTAAATCTCCTGTATTAGACTGACACACTTTTACCTGATGGAACTTATTTTTGAAGTCTTTTTACATGATAGAAAAGGTACACCAATTCAGCTTACTTCTGTTATCAATTAAATTACTTTTCATCTTTATTTATTAAAAATACTGAACGTATATTATTAAAAAGACTTGAGCAGTTATTTTATCATGATTTATTATTCTATAAATTACATGTATCAATACATAGCTAACTCATCTTAATAATGACTTAGCAGAACAGTTATGATCATGTTAATGATGTACTGAATAGGGTGTACATAGCAATAGTTAATTTATATTAAAAGAATTTTACATTAGAAATTGTTGGCCTTTGTCGTAGCTATATGATTAGTTAATTATCTATTGGATGACCACAGCTAATATATTCAAATTTGATTTGTTCTATTACATTTGTGAAATGAGTTTTGATTAACTTTGAAGTAATAAGATTGTAGTCAAAAACAGAACATTAGTAAATACTTCCTCTAAAATTAATCCACATATATGTTTTAAAAAGATAGTTTCACGAGAACTAACATATGCTGTAGATCATTCCAAATATTATTTTAACTCATCTGTAGAATTTAAATTAGTTTTTATTTCCAACTAAAAGTGAATTTTTAGAAGAAAGTCGATTATTTAATATTTCATTCTGGTCACAAATATGTTACATTTAATTTTAGTTTTTATCTTCTCTACATGACCCTTCTTTTTACTGCCTCAACATCCTGAATTTCGAGTTCTTCAAGATCCAAAAAATTCCTCTATGTTTGACTGTGCTACGCAACTTAGTTTGCGTCCCCCAATTCTATTCACCTCACTATATCTTTTGCTTTCTCTACTTCTAGATGCCGTCATTGCCAAGCAAGTTTATGACCCAGACCAACGTCCATAAACTGTGCAAATGGTAAATCTACCGTAAGATCATCCCGCCCGAAAATGATGTATGGCAGATAGTACGACCTGCGGGATAAACTGACCCTTGGTATCCGCATGAGAGCTGTACATACTCTTCCTCTTCCTTTGGCTGGTCAACCTCACTATCAAGTAGGTGAAGTTGGATTAAAAAAAAATTTGCATCCGTTAGAATCAACTCATAAATTTATGTTTTTATTATCAAGTTTATATAGAACTTTTTCTATCTCTATATTTCAAATCTATATTTATTTTTCTTTTTAATTTTTATCAGTTTTCATGTCATTGAATTGATGTAAAAATTGTTGCAAATCGAATGAGCTGAACATTTATCAAAATATTTGTACAATTCAAATCAGTTTTTAGTTTAATAGTTAAATTTACATGATAATTGCTCAATTAATCATAACATGGAGAATTTCAAAATCAATTCTAGATTTCAAAAAATCATATTGATAATATTTTTTTCAATTGGAGGTTGGTATTATTAATTGCTCATTCATGGAGTAATGATAGAAAGAATAGATCTATGGGTTGGAACTCCTACTTCATTTATTTTTTATGCTGGATAAGACGGAATGTTTGAAGGCGTACTTAAATAGCTATTACATCACAGTCAATCCGTTTCTGTTAACTTACACCTGATTAGTTTACAATGGCTCAACTATTGGAAAGGTAAAACCATTGCTTGTGCACGCCTGTTTCCGGTGGAATAATCACCACTAGCACATATAGAGTCTCCAACACAATAACAAAGTTACTCTTGTGGCTTTGTACCTCATTCTGTTCAATGATTATACCACGTTGATTCTCGAATGTACCAATGTCATTCAATGAGAATGCTCAGATAAAACTATTGCAGATAATACCTTGGATAGTTTAAAAATCACTTGGTGTATGTCAACGTTTTCTAGGTCTGATCATATTAGCTTGCTAATATTGTGTAATAATTATACTAAATTAGTCATTATTGGTGAATAAATAGTTTAATAGTATTCTCCTTGGATATAGGATTGCATAAAACTCTTCCTACGTAAAAGTATCTCGACAATTCTTTAATACTTCATTTTCCCATCGGAAGTGTAGTAAATCGATTACTACTAACATCAGTCAAAGCTTGATGGTGATGAGCACAGAGTAGTAGCAAATAGACCACACCTCTTCAGCCACCTACGTTTTTCCCCTTCTATGTCAAGTGTGTGGATTTAACTTAGCGATATACACACCTGTACTTATATACTTTTATGTCGTTGTAAAGTGAGGCGTAAGTAATAGGGCAATTGGTACCATAGTGGTTATTGTGAAAAATCAGTATAAGCGGTGAGGAGTTAATAATAGCAGATCACTTTCTTCCTCTCAGTATCTATTGTATTTTAGTTCATATTACGGCACGTATTGTGGCTTTCAGAACGTCGATAGAAATCCCGATGAAGAGAGTGATGAAAGCTGCACGAGCTTTATGGTTGAATTATTTTTTTCTTTTATCGTAAAATGTTCCTTCGGGACGGAGAAATTATTCTTGTTTAAACTCTAAAGTTTTTGAAACGACCCTCAGAGCGAGGGTGGAAATTAATCTGGAGAATTTCGAGGGTTTGGTACGTAGGGAATGATGGAATGGTGGATCGACGTGCATCAACACGTCGCGCACGCGGTCGGTGCAAGTAGGCTGGAAAAAAATGGAGAGAGCATCGACACGAGACAAGGTAGGATGGAAAAGAGAAAAGGGTGAAATGCAGCAGCATCTGGCGTTGTAAACGACCTCACTCTTTTTCACTCACTTTATATTAATCTCTTTCACTCACTCACATTGGTTCTGTCAGGCTTTGCTGCTGTTGTCCCGACGTTACTTCCATGACGGTGAGCTTCAATGCGCGCCGATAGTCGCGGCGGGAAACCAACGAGCCTACCCAAAGTCGTCCATGGTTTCCACGCATCCAACCCAACCTGAGCTCGTGGTTAACACATACCGATTTTCAATGTGTGCAAGTGAACTCGCGGTAGATATCATGAGATAGACAGTTAGTGTGGTTTAGTTCTCGTCACACCAACACCAAGATTTGGCTCTCTGAAATAATAATAGAAGAATAAAAAATAGAAAAAATAGAGAAGTATGATAGGAAGATAGTGGGAAAAAGGAAGAAGAAAAAAAGTAATAATCTCAGGGATCTTTTAAAATCCATCGAAGCAGACGAAGCCGCCGGATTGTGTCCCGTGTGTCGAAGAGAATGAGAGACGTTTCTTTCCTCTTTGCTTCCATGTACATAACTTTCCATGATGCTTCGACTCATTTTTCTCATTTTTTTTGGCTTGTTTTTCGAGTATCCGTCTCGATCTCCGATCTGTCTTCTGTGTAGTCGCTTCCCAAAGAAAGCTGTGATGTTCGTAGGATATCTTGAAGAATAGTAGATTATATATAGGATAAACAGAAAACCTTGGTGGATATTTATTATTTATTTTGTCTTTCATATGCATATCTTGAATAATTTTAGGGAATAGAGAAGGTATAGCAAATATTAACCAAGATGATGCTTTGATGAACCCAAATGCTCTATAAATAACCACTCTTGCTCTTGTTGTATCTATAGAAATTTTTGCTTTGAAATGAATAACTTAGATCTTTTTTATGTTTAACTTTGCTGAGAATTTTATTTTTATCATACTGAGTATTCAATAATCGATAGACAATTCTTTCTAGTAGTTCTAAAGCTTTGGAACAAAAAATAACATTTACATAAGCGAACAATTTACTTTTTTCAATAACTATTCCTATTTTGTCGTCTCTTTATGATAAAATTGAAAATCGTTGAGGTTTTTGAAGTCAGCATTGAAGATTTTTGATTTAAAAATCTTCTTTAGAATTTCATTTTAAAATTATTTATTCACATTTTATACATTTTTTTGTATCCAATAATATGTTGAGAATAGCTACATGGATTCTGATTGAAAATATCTTTTTCAATATATTTCAAAATAACTTTAAGTTGGCTATATTGATTGAAAATCTATCAAGTTTTTGTTAAATCATTTGATATTCTCCTTGAAAATACTTCTTTCCAGTTTGGTTTTCAATTTTATTGATTTTGAATTATGCTGTATAAATTGTTAGTGTACACCAACTTTTCCTAAAATAGTTCAAGAACCTTAAACTATTCAAATTCAATTAAATTTCTATTCAAAGTTAAAAAGGTCAAATTACCAAGTCGATTAGCAGTTTCATGGTAAAGATTTCAATAATTGTCAAATTGAGTTAGATTATAAATTGATTTCAACAATTGACTAATGATACTTTGATTATTCATCAAAAGTTGATCACCTGATCTGATAATTAAACTAAAACTTTATATATAAAAATTCTTTAAAAAAAGGAGACAGAGATTGATAAAACATCCAAGTTTTGCTGAAAGACATTCAGAGA